ATGTCAAGTCCAGAGTGTTGCATTGAGTCGCCACTGGCCCTTATTAGCTTTTCTTCTGTATCTGTGTACATCTGTTATTATCAAAACTGTAGCAAATCCTACATAAATGTTTTTTTTGTCAACTGCTGCATGTCATACCAAATGTTAGGCTATTATTAGAAGAAAATTTGAGCATTCCAGAGGATTATCATTACTAGCTTTTTATTTTATTGGAAAGATGTACAGAGAGTGGGGAAGATGCAATAGGTTCATTTTGTATAGACCTCAGTTGACAGCGAAGCTAAGGGGGCAGTGTGGACTTGCTGCCATGATTTTGGGCCATTACTGAGTATATGCTGTACAGAATTGTTACATTCGGCCGAGTTGGGCCAACGTCAGAGGCAAGACTTGTATGTTGAAGCAATCTCAAGTTATTTATTTTAAACTCAAAAATTCTGCTGTATATCATTGTACAGTGTGGTCGTGATCATACTTGGGCCACATGGTATTTTTGTTCCTGAATGTATCAATGCCAAATTCCACACTCTTCACTGCAGTGTATGTATGCTGTACTGTGGTGCCGTGCTGTCAGCCGATCTCACCCCCTCCTGTCGAGCATAAGGTTACACAGGCAACAACAGGAAAGAGTGAGGGGGTGGATTCGCTGAACAGCACAGCACACTTATAACTTTATGACAAGAATGGCAGTTCTTACTGTAAAATAACATTCCTGAGATGTCAGAGGTGCGTTTGTCTACACATCACAGCCCCCTTGCCAACTTCCACCCTAACCATCCCCAGGCATGAAGTGGTACAGCCCAGTCCTCCATAGAAAACTGTTGGAGCCAGGCTGAACCACTTTGCCTCGAGGTGTGGATGGGTGTGGTGGAACTGGGTAAGAAGGAGAGGGTGGCTCATAGAAAATAGGATGGCACAGAAACTTTGTTCGTAGGTAATTTACATACATACAGAGTATTTTATCTATTATAATACGTAATAATTCTGTAATGTCTGGCAGAAAGGTCCCATCCTTGTGTCTTGAAAGAGTTCTTATGTTCTTGGTGTTCTTTCTATAGTTTGTTACAAGACGATTTTCCATGTTGCACTTTGTGGGGGTCGACACAAGACTGTGTCACGTTTTGTACTTACTAAGGTCAGTAAACATGTTGAAGACAAACTTTGTTGTGTGTGGACGTTTTCCTGACTGATTGACCTGTGATGTAGTTAGTGCATGGTACTGCATATGTTTGGTATCATGGTTTAATACTTTTAGGAGATTGTCCTGCAGTGCCATCTAGCTGTAGTAGGATATACTGCAGACAGAAAGTACATGAATGAACTGAACTGAAGGTATGATGTATTGATCACACACAAATGGGAGGAGTGCTGAAATTTTAATAACAAAAAAACATTTTAATACCCACCCATTGTTCTAAAACTTAAATAGAAATCGTCACCTTGTCGTACATCCATAGATACATCTATGAGGCTAATTAGTCAATTAATTTCCCGTTTCCGGGAGTAGTCCGCTCCATTATCCAGCGAATCTAGAAATCAAGAGGCACGGTTGACTTTTGAAAGCCTTGAATAAAACTACTGATATTCGTCTAAAATCGACTGCAAACTGTTTCTAGTATCGCTTCCGTCTGCTTGCAGTTACCATTTTTTTGCAACATGTGTCCGTACTGGCCGACGCCCGGGGGCACTGCCAATAGTGTACTTCATCGATTTTCTCTCAGCTCAGCGAGTTCCCGTTCTCATTCAGCCCTCTCTCCAAGCCCTTCACAAAGCGACGACCACCTGTGAACCCAGAACACAACACAATTACCCCGGGAAACTCAACCCCCGTCGCCCATGACGAACAAAAGCATCCCCCGCCAAGCCCGGGCGTTGGTCGAAGCCCGCAGCCTCCTGGGCAAATAGATCTGAATAGTTGGCAAAGTCGTCCGGATTTTGCTCCCATCTCCCTCCGGGGTAGACCCGTTATCTTCTGCAGCAGACTGGGGCGCGTCTGTCGTCGGCGCCACTGATACAAGCACCCCGCAGGAGCGCGGAGCAGAAACAAGACTGGTGAACCACCAGACGTGGTCTGCGCTGGTGAATTCAAGCGGTCACGGATCTCAAGTAGCCGTGTAAGAAGCAGAATTTCAGTTCTGTTTTCGTGCGTGACTCTGTTTATTTCCTTTTATACGCCACCATGTTCAGCAAGAAGAAGCAGTCGCTGGACATAACGCCCGAGAACCCGGTGTTCTACGTCTGTTATCTGGGAAAGGTGAAGACCGATCGGCCGAACGGGAAGGGCTGCACGGCCGAACCGACCAAGAAAATATGGGCCGCCAGGGAGAGCATCCCCGACCGCAAGTTGAGAAAGGTGGCCCTAACAATAACCCCAGAGGGCATGCACATGAAAGAGGTGGAACCTCTACAGAAAGGGACGCAGCCAATCGACGAGTTGTTCAAGATACAGAACGTGTCCTACTGCATGGCTGACCTGGAACTCCCCAAGGTGTTCAGTTGGATCACGGGGACGCCAGGAGGCAGCAAGGAGGACTTGTTCTGCCACGCGGTGCTGTGCAGTAAGAAGCAGAAGGCCCAGGCGATGGTCATGGTCCTCACGCACCAGTTCAGCGCCGCGTTCCGCACGTGGAAGCAAGACGCCAGCAGACAGGAGAGGAAGTCGTCCCTGAAGCATAGCAGGAAGGAGTCGAAGGAAAAGCTGGTGATGAGGGTGCCGAAACCAGCGGACGGGCAGAACAACAACCAGGGCTCGGAGTCCGGGTCCGCCCCGTCCTCGCCCTCAGCGGCCCCCAGTCTAGAGAGCGTACAGAGCGGGATGGCAGAACTCCGGGCGCACGAGTCCTCCGGGTCCGAGAAAAACGGACAGGTGCCCGTCACGTCCGTCCAGACGGGCCTAGACGTGAAGGAGGCCGCCATGAACCCGGAGGTACAAGCCTACATGCAGGGGGACAAGTCTGAGAAAGATGTAGAACAAAATGACGACTAAGAACCAAGTTTGAGGAAAATATCTTCAGTATTCACACAGAAGGGTATGATATTATATTTTAGTGAACCAGACAGTATGCATTGTCTACTCCAATGCTATATATCATGACCTTTTTTGTCTCTAAATTTTTTTGTGGAAATAATGTAACGTTGTAGTTTCTGACCCGAAACAAAGTATTATGGTGGCTTGAGAGCAAACAGGTCGGAAAAGCCATTGAAATGCCGACAAGTGCTCTCCAACGTATTTGTACAGAACTTGAGACAACAACACTTGTATACGACTTGCATGTGGCCGACATTTTTAGTGCATGGTCGAAATTAGTTTCTTTTTCGTGTTAGCTTAAAACTGAGTACCAAAGTTCGCAGATGTAACGTATAGTGTAGTGATCACATGTGCAAAATTGGCATAAAGGCATCACAACAATGTATCGCTATGAAATGTTAGCCTTTATTGATACCGGAAACTGATTTTAGTTGTGGAAACGAATGAAGTTTTGTGACCACCTGTTGAGCGTGACGGATTGGGGGAAGGGGACGTGTTTTGGCGCACGTTTCCAAGGTAACGACAGTCCAGTCGGTAATATAGACATATTTATGTCACCACTGTGCTCTTGAAGTTTATTTTAGTCCACTGAATATACCATCAAATGTATCTGAATGTTGTTAATGAAAGGACGTTGGTCGAGATCACTTCTGTCGGTTGCATCTGTCGCTGCGCACACTCCTTGTGTTGGCAAAAACATGGCCGCGCGATATTGTATGACACCGCATCATGTGAACCTTTCCCACGCCCGTGTAAGACCAACCCAAAACAAAGCCTAATAACAAATTTCCGTGCATGTTTGTTGCCTCCCTGCAAATCATAACGTTGTGAAGTGAGGCATGTGGCAGTTGTAGTGGTTGTTTGAATATTTTGGGTTAGCTCTCTTCGCGCTTGTCTGCTCTTGACTTATTAGCCCGTAAGCGGATCACTTGGCGACTGCTTTTGGAGTACGCCACGCAACGTTGGATTCCTTTGTTGAACCAGACCAAGGAAAGAGTAGCAATTACAGCAAATAGAAAAAAAACGCACACACACGGCTGACTTTGTACTGAGGATCCGGTATACACGCATTGGGGAATCATACAGGGCGAGTCGGAAAGTAAAAAAAAAGGTCCTCAGTGATATGTTGTGGTAGATTATGGGTACTTATGGAAAACCAAAGGGGAACATAAGAGCCTTTAGCTTCAAAGATACTCAACGACCTACTTGTACTAAAGAAATATCTGGATTAGCAGTGCTTTCAATTTGCCTTGCACATTTCCACTCCTACAGTTGACTATACGAGTGTCTCATTGACACATTTTGCAAGATTACACGTGCTTGTGGAAAACCAAAGAGGAACGTAAGAGCATCCTACTTCACAAGTATTCAAGAACCTACTTGATGAAAGTATTCTGATGTGGACCAAGGATGATTTTGCTTTGCCCTCTGCATTTACACGTTTGAATTTTGATCATATTTATTTCTCATGTTAACATACTGCCATTTTAAAGATGAAAAAAAAGAAGAAGACGACGACGATTGCGTGTATGTACTTACTGTAAAAAGTAAACTCGGAACACTTACTTGTTTTGTTTACAAACTATGATGTCTACCTTGGATCCCGGACATATAAATATTTACTGTACACTACACAGCCCAGAATTCAACATGGATCTTCTTACCCCAATTAGTCTATGATCCACCGTCGACAAATGGGTCACAGGCAAACAATTCAGTCTTGAAGTGATGAAGTGGGTGTTTTCAAGAAAATTAAGCGAGATGGCCTACTTAATCTCTAACTCCATGATTTCAACGTTAACACGGCTCGAATGTCTTACATGTGCACTGGACGAAAAAGGTTCGGATACGCTCACATCCCGCCCCGTATCTTTCCGTATTCTTTACAAATACGAGCATATACGAGCGAATGCGACGGAATTTGGACACAGTTAGCATCTTCTTAGTTTTGTCATTATTGGTACCACCATGTTGTTTAAAAGACATTAGAAAGTTATGCTCCTTCTAGTTCCTCAGGAAGCATTGGGTGTGGCACAGAACTCTTCTTCCTGCGGTAGTGACAGCTTTGAGAGGAATCTGGAAGCTGATAATATACGTTGTACATGTAGTAGGACCGGACGACCAGGTTCGATAGATATCTAGGCATACCAAAGGCCCTTTATTCGGCTGAACCCGGACGATTCTATCCTAGTGGGAAAAGGGCCCAAAAGATTGTATCCCAGGAATGGACAACTGCTTCAATTAAATTTCGGCACAGGGCGCGAGGGCCTTCGTATTTAGTGATAGTAACTGTCACAGTGGTAAGGCCACACCGATTTAATTTTATGGATGACAGCCTCTAAAGACCCCCAAACTAGTGCGCGCGGGCGAATAAAAAAAGAATTCCGGCCAAAAATAAAAATGCTACTAAACCGCAGGAATACAAAGCTGGTGTTGTGAATTTGCGGCAGTACATAGCAACGTATACGATAAGCCGGCACATGCTGGCTTTTTGTGGAATTTATGAATCGGCACTGTACGTATGTACTGAATTCTTGAGTCGTGGAGCTTCGGCACCTGGGTGTCGTCCTCCTGAGTTACCGCTGGCTCGCTGTATTGTCACTAACTACCATGGACTACCCAGGCCTAAAGCCAGGCCAGAGCCTCGGAGGACGTGACCATTTTTTAGAACAGGCGAAAATCAATGCGCGTGTGGATGCCATCCATAACATTAAGGCGATGTGGCCTAAGCTGCTGTAAAAAAAATGTCAGATAAAAAAAGAAAGCCCGATAAGATGTCGACAATCACGCCAAAATAAGCCAAAGGCTAAACCTCTGCTTTGGATAGCATGTTTTTTTCGTCTACTTGTGACTTCCGTAGCCCTGTCAGCTCAGATAAAAGGGCCAGCTGTCAAAAACCCTCTAACAGCGCTTGCCGAACACCGGTTTATCATGAGATATTACAGACCACCGACATCCTCGATGAAAGGGTGCCGTTAACTGGTCTTTTAAACTTGCTCATTGAGTCAACTAACCAATGAGACCCCTGCATGGGGCACACTGACCCGCCAAGCTGCAGGGCAGCAAAACCAGCTCAAACTAACAAAGGCTCCGTTACTATGACGACCGCTTGGAGTGTACCCTAGCAGTGGCCTTGTTTTGGCTTTGACCCAATTCGATTTCCCGCCAATGTTTGCCTGTGTGCTCGGCCGTCTGTCCATGACAAACCCGTGGAAACCGTCTGACGCTTGTTAAACAGTCAGGCCTTGTCTTGTGACTGTTGACTGTTTCCACATTTTCTTCTGTGAAAACTGGTTGGCCGGGAAAATCATCCGCGGAGACAAGAGGATGGGTTAGCCTCCAGGCCACAATTGCCAGGCTCCGAAGCAGGCGTTTTGAACGTTTTGGGTGAGTGAGTGAGTGAGTGAGTGAGTGAGTGAGTGAGTGAGTAAGTGAGTGAGTGAGTGAGTGAGTGAGTGAGTGAGTGAGTGAGTGAGTGAGTGAGTGAGTGAGTGTGTGAGAGATCTAGAGAGAGTGAGTGAGTGAGTGAGTGAGTGAGTGAATGAGTGAATGAATGAGTGAGCGGTTAGTTGATTGGCTGGTTGAGTAAGTGAGAGAAACGGATGGAGAGAACAAAATGTGATAAAAACGACAATTGTCTTACTCCATGGTCTCTCGGTGTTTTTCACCATTCTCTACCAGACTGCCTTTGTTGTTGGAAACATAGTAGAAACAAAAATCGGATCAACAGACCGAATGATTTGCTTGAGAGCCGGCCAAGGAGTTGCACTGATTGGCAACCCGGGGAGTCTGTCAGAGACTAGTTATTCACTAATGTCCTCTTTCTTCTGACGCGATCATGTACCGTATATCGTGCAGTACTAGTCATGCTTAATTACTGCAGTACACACGGTGATCGTTAGGTGCGCGATTACCACGACTCATAGTTTGCAAGTAGACGGTGGGACGGGCGATCGTAATCTCCAAGCAGATCTTTCGGTTGGGTGGGAAAATACCGTAATCCATTGGCCATCCTGTATCCATTGGCCGTTTCTCTAATGGACACTCCTCTGGACAATGGATATTGTCTTGCCACCGAAAGATCTGCTTGGAGATTAAGCGATCGTAGCTAAAGCGTTTCCCTGGTCGCTCGTTTTCTGACAAACAGTCGTCACAGATCGCATGGGTCGGGTCAGTTGGGAAGACGTTTCGTCTCTCCATATCGCAGCCTGCATAATGTGATTTTTTTGTGCCTGCGAATTATCTTGTGATGTTTTTGGGCCCGCCCCTACCTTTAAACAGGTGGCATGACGAATGGTTTGACAGTCTAAAACCACTAGCACACAATAGTCCATAGTGAGAATATAATGAACAAAAGTATTCTAAAATGTATTCCTATTTCTCATTTTCCCAATTTTCCCCGGAACATACCCTTGTTGGTTGGAACAGGAGGTTGCAGAATGCAGACCACAGATATGTGCAGTTCGTCATTTGGTCTCAAGGGGTCGCTTGTAACCGCACACGTCCGACCACCTGTTCATCTGACACCTTAATATTGGCGTTCCCCACCACGCCTGGAAATTCCCACTGCCATGAAAGGGACCGAATCAACCCACCTCCCCCGATTCTTAAAGGACAGTGACTCCCACCTACTCGGGGACAACTCATTGTTGATTGTGGTTTCGAAAAAGTTGCATTTTGAACTATTATGTTATGATTTACTTATGAGGAAAGTTTTGTAGGTTCAGTGTATCGTTGCTGAGTTTGATCTGGAAGCAGGGTGTATTAAGTTACCGGTACTTCGCTGCCAGTTACAAATGATGTGAAGTAATGAATGGACCTCCCCTGTTTTCACACCGCACAGGTAAGAGATCAAAGGCGCCGACACCTGGACAGGTATTTTGTTTCGAACCCACCTGACTTCCAGGCGGAGTTTTTTTTGTCCGGGCTTGCCCCTTTCTCTGGCGCTGATTGGTTGGAGTAAGGCCGACAAACAAGTCCTGAGAAGGGGACGATTTGGCCTGTTTTTCTTTGGCTCTTAAAGGGGACTGTTCACGTAATATACAAGGGGCGTAATTTTGCACCCACTCGCGCCAACCAAGGACTTCTATACACTGCTCTTGCACCAACGTTGCCAAACGTACGGTACGTTCATGGTAACGGATGGCTTGATTTTGTCGTAAAACACGTAGCATAGTCGTCTACCAAAGTGTTTTGAGCCCCCAGTCGCATGTGTTTTGGACCGTCCCTCCCGTTGCTGGGGAGTGTTACCATATTTGTCACTGGAAGTCCCCCACCAACTCACCGCGGACCCGACCCTCCGTACGTTATGGAAGACTGAGCCTCAAAGGTGCGGAGAGAAAGAAGGACAGAAGGTGCACTTAAAACGCACTTCACAACAAAAGGGGAACAACGCCTTCTCCACGGCAGTGACTGTCTTTGCTGTCCTGCTATGTGACAATCTTAATCTGAACGAAGTGTCGGAAGGTCTTAAAAGACATCTAAGGAATATTTCTACGTCTTGTTATGCTAAATCATTTGAAAGCTGCCAGTACGATGTATTCTTTGCACCGAGAATGTACCTGACAATGCGCATTCCGCGAATACATACAAGCATACATTCATAACTTGCCGTATTGGCGTATATGTCTTTTCCACACACACATTTGAGATCCTCAATAAAGTGAGCCATATGAACAGAAAAGAAAGGCCGCACTCATGATGGCCCCCCTTCCTTCTTTTTCTTTCCTTCCTTCCTTTCTTCCTTCCTTTCTTCATCCATTCCTTCATCCATTCCTTCTTTCCTTCCTTTCTTCCTTCCTTCTCTCTTAATTTTAATCTACCTGTTCTTTCTTTTTGTCTTTCTAATCTTGTGGAAGGCAATGTATTGTAGATGGACAGTTCTCTTAGTAGTAGTCTTACATATCACAGAGCAATATCAAAATTTGTGGTAGCCTTAACTGTACTCAGAATAAAGAAGGCTTTAAGATACTAACGTTATATACTTTATTTCGGTTGTTCCCTATATCTATTAACATCTTGTGATCCTGTCTGCTTTTCATTAAGTCTCACCAAGGTGCCTATTGCCCCCAATCAAGAGAAA